TCGATCACTGCCCATGGCGACATTCCGAGTTCGTATTCTGCCTCAACACCTTCCTGCATGTATAGTTGGTTGACTTCCAATATTTTGAATCCGTAGGGCAGGATTTCTGTTCTCTGCTTGCATTGTCTCTTAGTACATGTGTGTGTGTGTGTGCATAAGCTGTTTTCATCGCCACCTTGGTGATGCCTTGGTTTCTTGGTCAGCTTTTCACCGGGCTTTGCAGCAGTGCCCTGCAGCGCCTCGAAGTCTGGCGAAGGCCACAAATTGATTCCATTTTGCAGAACAAACATGTGTAGCATCCCAAAGGAGCCCTTTCATTAGAGCCCATTCGATGGGTCCCTCAACGTGAAAGTTCTTGAAAGGATACCCCTTGATGCACCTGCCATTGGGTATGGGTAAGAATTCAGCCGCCAGGAATTGGACCGCAGGTTTCGTCCTCCATTTACCGGGAGTCATGTTGGGGTTACCAACTATTTTTGACCACCACAGCTTTGGGGTTACCAACATTTTTTGACCAACTATTTGGGGTTACCAGCTATTTTTTGGGGGGCCATTTTGGGGCTACCAACGATTCTTGACCAACCTTTCGAATCTTCTATCCCCTCGTTGAACCAACTGCTTTTGGGGTTACCAACCATTTTTGACCACCGCAGCCCAACAAGTTTCGACCACCACTACCACCACAGCCCGGTTGAATCTTCTATCCCCTGCCCAAGGAAGCCCCCTGCGAAAGACGCGCCCCCAGAGAAGCGCGCCATGGAGAAGTTCTTCTCGGGCCCCGTTTTCCGCTTCTACCAGGCGCGCGGGCGCGCGGGGTGTCGGGTCGGTGCTCCGTTTTGGAGAACCCCCACGTCAAAAGGATGGCACTCCTGGGTTTGTCCAGGATGCAGCATAGGTGTTCTTCTTGGGTCTTTTTGTGGCCAATACATAGATGGATTCCGTGGTTTCAGTTTGCGAATGATCTACCAGCGGAATCCTTGCACGGCGAGGGACGCGTCGCACAACTCTTCTCAAAGTGTGGGACGTCGAATCAACTGTTCAGGCACAGTGGGCATACACCTTGAAAGCAAACACGTGGCCCCATGCCACATGCGAGTTGAACAAATGTAAACCCCGTTGGCAAGCCACTTGAAGGCTTGCGGATCCGCCGATCCACCGATGCTTCAACAGTAGGGGTTCCTTCGGAAACCAAAGAAGGCTATTTTTCTTGCTGAAGGTTGCGTGTTCGTGTTCGGGTGAGGGCCCGAGTTCCGGCAATCTGCATAGGAAGCAGGACACCTGCGCGTAGCTATGAAGCAGCCGCGTTTTGAGAGTTTTGGTGGCGCTTTCTACGAACATGGCACTCAGTTGGAATGCCGGATCCCCGACACCCGGCTCTGTGGCTGGGGGTTAGCTTGCGTCAGGCGCACAAGATCAAGCTCGTCGTCTTTTGGCTGGTGCCATGGCAGAGTCGAATTTGGGCAGGGCCATGGCTTTTCTTCTTTCCATGGCGAAGAATGGAGTTGAGTAGAATTTGGGCAGGGTCAGCTTTTTTCTTTTTTTCTGGGAAGCACAAGGTCAAATTTTTACACCGCGTTGGAAGAGTTTTGCTTGCGGCATAAAATCTTTCGCCGACAGGCTTGACAGCTCCGGCCGTTGTCAAAACATACCTGGCAAAGCTCAGCCAAGTGGAGTTGTTTCTTCTTGAGGGTATCATCTTGGGCTCTTAAAGGGAGACCAAATCACACCATTTTCAGGTGTCCCCCCCCTCTTTTGACACAGTTAGCAAACGCCCAAAAAGCCTGACCGAGGTCAGCTTGGCCAGACCGTGAGGCTGTGAAAGGGGCTTTTGAAGGGGTCCGACTTCTGACTTCTTGCAGCATGGCACTTGTGAATTCTGGGTCCAACAAACGGCCATGATCTTTTTCTTTTTCATTCACACAGATTTTGTACGCCAAGTCGGTGATGTTGTAAGCCTCAAACCACGCTTGGGCATTTCCTCTGCAAGCACTACAGTGAAGGAATGGCGCATTTGGCATTGACCGCCCCAGTCCTGAAGGCCGTGCTTGTTCCAGTTTAGCCGGGTTTTTACCCTAAGAAAACTTATGACGCCCCCCATGTCGACCCCTTTTTGTTGTTTCAGCCTGAGGTGTTTGTTTTTCCCAAGAGCGATCTGGTTTCCATTCAACATCAACCAGGGGCTGAATGCTGAAGGCATTTTGCTATAATGAGACCCCTTCATTCCTCTGAATCAACTCAGGTTTGTCAATTCGGCGTTCCCTGTCACCACTATTGATCAATTGGCTATCTGATGGATCCTGCACTTTAATAGAGTATGGGGAGTGCATCAATCAAAAGACGGGGTTCCCACAAAGCCTTGGTCTTTACTGTTCGACATCAGGCTTTCTATTTGAAAAAAGAACAAACAATCGAGAAGCCTTGGTTTCTATTTCACCCACTTGCCCAAAGCCAAGCTTTTGACATTGGTTTTCCCCATTTTGTTCCATTCGTCATGGCCCCAAAAGGTTAGCCTGTGAGTTCATGCTCAGGCGGTGGTTGTGACCATGTCCGCCTGTGCCGGAGCCTTGCTGCGCACCGCCGACAAGCGGGCGCCCATCGGCCGGGAGAACATCGACGTGATCAAGGGCTCCGATGTCTTTGGGATCGCAAAAGAGAAGACGGACTCGGGACGAAATCCTGCACCACTTTGAACCCTGGTTGAAACCATTGGTTGTTGGTATTTACAAGGGAATCATCATTCCAGGGTTTCTTAGGTGGTGCAGGATTCTGTCCATCCGCAGTATGGGGCACGCAGGCGCAATACATTTTTGGCGTATGGGTTAAGCTTCAAGGTGCCTCTTTGCCAGACTGGGATAGTGTATGCGTGTTGTGGATGTCGGTCTCGGCTGCCGGTCAGAGCAGCAAGGAATATGGGTGTGTGTCAAGGGGGACCCCACCAATTGTGATGCTCTGAAATCGGTTCCCTTTGAAACCAACAGAAACAAAAATAGTTGCCAATGTACGAGTCCCGTTGTGTTGGTGCATAATGTAATGTAGTAACCCATCGGCTTTGCGCCCGTTTGAAAAATAGCGTGGTGTCCCATTTTGGGGGAACGCCACCATATTCCGACGCGATTGGATCCGGGGATAACATTTGCGTTTGAGCCCTTGCTTGAAATGTGGGGTCCAAGGGACCCTGCCTCATGCTCTAGAAGGGTCACGCGCATCTTTCTGGGAATTGAAAGGTGACAACTACTTCCCCCAAAAAGGGCAGCCTCCGAAAAGGAGATGAGACTGTTGTGCGGCTTCTAGGCCGGCAATTGGGAGAGTCAAGCAATCAAATGGATCGGATTCTACCCCAACCGGATGGTCTTGAATTTGGGCTGGCTTCTCTTGGTTTCCTTTGAACCCCGAGCAAGCATTGGGTGGTTGGGTTCCCTGCAGACGTGCCGATCTAAGCTTTTCCAGCCTTTCTTTTCTTTCAGAATCGACGTCAGATCCTCTTCAACGAGTTCGAGTTCTCTCCTCGGCCCGTGACCGTTTCTGTGGCCTTCGGAATCCAGGAGGCCGGGGAAGGAAAGCGGAGGGCGGGATTGCAACTCCGTCTTTTCGGTTGCAACTCCGCCAGACCCCAAAGTATCACAGGGCACCATAGGCTCCTGGACACCATGGGCTGCTCGCATCTTTTTTTTTGACGAATCTGGGTGAGTTTCTTTTGTTTCCCTTTGATTGAAAGCATGGGCCCCATTGGCGAGTCAGTTTGAATCAGTTGGGCGGCGTTGGCGCTGTCCAAGCCGCAGTTGCCCACATTGGTCTCTCCTGTGATAAGCATTTGCGTCTGATTCCTGACACATCTTCTACAACAGTTTGCGGAACATCGGTTCATCATCTCTTGCTTGTTCGGGGCCGGAGAGGCCTCTCTCAATTCCGCCGCATTTTCGTTCGAAGCCCCTAGCGCTCGGCCGTTTTTTTTCTTTCTTTTTTCTTCTCGAGGACGACCCCATCGTCTGGGCGAACCCAGGCCAGAACATCGACACCAATAGGGCCACCTTCGGGGGCACCAGCGGTGTGGACCTCAAGAAGCCTGCGCATCAGAAGGCCGGCGGTTAGCCGCGTTTGGGCGGCTTAAGGAGGGCGGCGTGACGGGTTTCCGCGCTCAAGGAGTGTGTGTAGAAAAGGAGGGCCATGGACTTGAAGGGACTTGAAGGGACAATCAGATGCCATGTTACGGGGGGTGCCATGTTTCTGCTCCTTTGAGCTATTTGGGCCCAGTTTCAGGCAGGCAAAGATCGTGTACGGCTCATGCCCAGGAGGACCAATGGTTGCCCTCCGCATGAGACCTTTCAGCTTCGCCTATGCTTTTCCCCTTTTCTTTTATGTTTTGAATGCTTGTTGGACTGACCAAAATTGCCCGGAAACACCATTAAACTCAGGCCATGCGACCAGGTGGATTCCTGCCTTACGACACTGGATTTGTCGTTTGGCCATGCCACACATCGCACTGAAACGAAATACTTGGGGCGTCCGAAGGCTTCTTGCCCATGATAGCTGCACATCAGCCTGGGTATCCAGAGAACAAACAGCAACCAACAAGGGGTACCCTCACAAAAGAAGCCTTTTTTTTGAAGGCGGGAATGCACAGGTAGCTTGGGAAAGCACCTTTGCAGCAATTCATTTTGAAATTTTGAACGGTTAGATCAATCTGATTGAATGAATCATCCACACAGGTACTTGAATTGTGTTTTTCTCAACATTGGGAGTTGAGCCCTTGCCATGATTTGCAAGGGAGTTTACACACGAGAAGCACGGGCACCAGCTGTTTTTCAGGGTTCAGGTTTTTGGCGTGGATGTCCTCTTTGGCTGTTCTGCTTACGACATTTTTCATGGGGTCTGGTTTACCTGGTGGTTTCATCATCTACCAAGGCCACCCATTTTTTACTGAAAGGACACCTGTGGTTTTGGGTGTTGGCAGCTTGTGCAGGAGTTGCTGGCCCTGTGCCGGTCCCCGGACCTCGGGCAGGAGGGAAAATCGAGTCGAATCGAGTAATCGAGTCGAATCTAGTTCGTTTGGGGAGGAGCTTATGGAATCCTGTGGGTTTCTTGTGGATGGCGGAAAAAGAAGGAACCCAAAAGGAAACTTGAAACCGAAACATCAAAGGACACGAATTGTTGGACTTTTGTAGGTTCTCTTCTGGATGGTGCTCAAAGGAAAAGAAGAAGGAGACATGCCAGTTTTTCCTATGTTTCTCGCACCTGATGCGGTAGTCGCGTGTTTGACAGTGTGCCACTTGGGGACTTGTTCAGGTGTTTTTCTTTGGTGTGTTTGAAAGTTTGAAATGTTCGTTTTGGGGTCCCGACTCATGACAAACGCCAGATGGCTTTTGGATTCAGCTATTGAAAGGACCGGTTTGCCTGAGTGGTAGCGAGTAAACCAGTTTACCCATGAACAGAGTTGAGAGAGAACAGCAGGTCTTTGGAGTAAACTGTAAATTGCTTGCACGATCTTTAAATCCAATGGGCGACTGAGTCCTTTTCTCGTGACATATGGTGACCTGGGACTCTACCGCTAAATAGAAGATTCGCAAACAGGGGCTCCTCTCAACCTGTCACCATTGGCCTGGCCTCGAACCAGGCGGCTGACCTCTTGGGTGCAGTTTTACTCACCTTGATGTTTGCTGTCCTTTTTCGTTAAGATCTACACCCAGTCCCCCCTTACCGCCCCGATTTGTTTTCTGTTTTGGGGTCGTTTTTGGGGCGAACTGGCGCCGATGTTTTTTCGTGCTGGTGATAGGTCGGGAAACGTGGGAATGAACCGTTTCAGGATTCCCTGAAAGGAATACACCAGTTGGATGGTTTTTCTCGGGGTCATTCCATTTCTCATTCCATACTTCTCGCACCAGCACGGTTTCGGTTTGGGGGTCTCACTCCCTCACACATTCACTCCACACACTCCACACACTCCACACACTCCACACACTCCACACACTCCACACACTCCACACACTCCACACACTCCACACACTCCACACACTCCACACACTCCACACACTCCACACACTCCACACACTCCACACACTCCACACACACTCCACTCGAAACGAAGGCCGTTTTCAGGACGGCGCGGACACCCGGTGCAGCAGCCGCGCCTGCCTGGTCCGGGGCTCCCCGCTGCCCGGGTCCTGCACCCCGGACGTGGCGGCCTGGGAGAAGCACGGCATCTTCATGCAGGCGGCTTCCGCCGGGGGGTGACTTTTCGCCGTGTCTGGCTCGGAACCCGCCCGCGTCCGGTGCTATCAGCCGTCGAGCGTTTTTTTTTTTTGGCGGCTTTCTTTAGCGGGGGCCCCATTTCACCCAGAAGTTAAGACTTTTTGCAAGGGCAGCCCAGCTTAGTGGACCCACAAAACAATGGGTGTCCTGGTGGTTTCCGTATGTACCCATCAAAAAATGACACCCCCGGGCCCCGCCCCCCGGCCCCCCACCCCATTTGTGGAGACCTATGACGTCTTTTCCCACAGTGGAGGTGCTTCCATGTGGGTCTGTCCTGTGTTGGGTAGCCTCTTTTGCTTCCAGCACCCTTTTGTGGCGGTCTCTTTGCCAGAGGCCCGGCCCGAGATTCTTTTTTCTTTCCAGCGATGTAAACACATGCGAGCGCGTCGTGTGAAGATTCGTTGCCACTGTCACCCTCTCTGGCGCCCCGAACTGGCCTTTTGATCAGAGTCACCTATGGGTTAAAGGGAAACACCCCCCCTTTTCTGACTTTAACCCCTAGAAACGCTCGCCGAAACACCTTGAGCTGGCTCCCCGAAAAACCTCGGACCCGCGAGTGCTCGTAGGAGTCCGAGACCTGTGTGACGGGCCGCTACTGCTTCATGGAGGACGACTTCGGTTTTGTCGTATTTTTGGTTCCGTCGCAGAGGCTCTTTTTTTGTTTCGAGCTGGGGGAGGGGCGGGCGGGGGGGGGGGGGGTTAAACGAGCGAAGCGAGTTTCAAGCTTCCTGGTTTGGATTTGGCTTGCCTTTCCGTTTTGGGAATGTTGGAATCTATGACACAGATTCCTTGCATTGAGGGTTGTTGGCCACTTAATGGCCTGCGGTATGTCTTACGCAGTCAGTCCCCACTGCTTGCTCGTAGTTTACCAGCTGAGGGTCACCTTGTCGAGTGAGTTCGGGGATCCGGCGACTGCGGGTTTTTGGGCTTTCCCCAAAATCCCCACGAAGGAGTCGGGGGACAAGAAGGGGGGAAGAATGCAGGGCTTGTAAACCAAATAGCTTCAGTTGGGGGAATGTGGAGGTGTGGGTATTCGGTGTGGATCAGCTTTTTCATGCAATGTATCAATGTCAATCAAGGGATACATGCTACTCGGAGACCTGATGTACGTTTTGGTGGTTTTGAAGGACAATCACAAGGAAGTCAAAATTCTTGAGGTGCCTGTCTTCGATCTTCTCAGAACCCGGCAGCAGGTCAACCCTTGGCGCTCCATCTAAACCCTCGCAGCCAGGTGCCACGTTTTCCCCAACTTGGCCGGTGAATGGCCTGACAGCTGCAAACCACTGTTTGCGGTGCAACAAGAAATGTGAGAAGCCAAGAAACAAGCACCTGCTGTCCAGCAGAAAAAGAAGCAGTGTTGTTTACTGGTAGAGAAGATTGCTTTAGTGTCAAAACACTTTGTACCTCATTTTCTACAACCGCCAATTCCTTGACCTTCCTTTTGGGGCTGCAAGCATAGGTGCTATTTTAGGTTAGTTTAGATAAGAATTGATGGGTTCCACTGGTTTAGATGGGTTTTGTGCCCCACTTGCCAGGGAAACCCATCTATTTTTCCAAAAGACAATCTATGGCTGTAAGGGGATCTAGCTAGCTGGCCCCAGGGATCTTTCCCCTCAAAGTCACCCAAGGAGGTTGAAGGACACATCCTGCTAATGTTGGACCCAGACTACTGCACATTGCGCTTTCATAGGTTTTCCCCAAAAGCGAACGGATTTCCTCCCAGAGGGCCACCCCCGAAAAGAATCAAGGGGGTCGGAAATCAGCTGGGTTCCAAATAGGAGTCAGGCGGAACAAAAAAAACTGGAGGCCAAAACGCAGAGGCAAAACAGGTTCGGCTACTTGGCAGGACTTGGTCTACTTCTGGGCGCACAAGCAGGGCAACTGCCAGTCGCGTTTCACCACCCAGGTACTCTGCAACGCAGACGCCGGGTGCACCTGGTCCACTGAGAACCAGGCGGGGCCCCGATCGCATTGGCTTAAGAGGGGGCTGGTTCACGGAATTGGCCATGGGGCATAACCTATGGCTCCATTTTGGGGTGGATGAACATCCATGTGCCACCTATTTTGATGTTCACCAGGGGTACAGTGTTTTGACCCACAGCCAATTCAGCTTAGGTGAACGAGGCAGACTGTGAAGTTAGAAGGCAAAGCAGGACTCTCTCAACTTTTATCCAGCTAGGGTGTGAAGACCAATATGAATTTGATAGTCCAATGAGTTTGCGCATCTGTGGGGTAAAATGGATGTTGAACGCACACATACCCTTGATTGAATGCAGCGCGCACTTACTGAGTTCAAGCATGGAAGCCACAAAACCGCACCATTCAGCTGAGTGGTTAGCTTTCCTTTCCCTTCAAACCAGCCGCCCAAAAGGCCACTCCAAAAAAAGGGGATGCCCTTTCGACCCTTGGCTTGAGGCGGAGGGCCCCTATATGTCCCTTGCGTGCATTTTTTTCCCGTTTCGAGGGGACAAAGGGCCGCCCTTGGCGGCGTTTCGGTTCTCCCCTTTGCCCGGTGCTTCGGTTGCTTTCGGTTTCGGAAGGTGTGCTACTCCTCCACCAGCCCCTCGAGCTTCCCGGCGGATGGGATTCCGGAGGCGGACTTCCTGAGCTTGGTGACCACCCAGCGCCTTGGGATGCGTTGAAACCGTGGATGGGAGCGACTTCGTTGGGTCGCTTGGGCTCAGTTTCTTTTTTTTGGTTGAAATCCGTATGGTTGGTGCAACATGGAAGCGCTGAGGTTGGGTTGGGGCAAAATCGGGGCAACATGAGGGCTGAGAGTCGTGCCTGGGAACGCGCGGAATCACCCGCTTGGGAACGCAACAAAAGCACTCGCTCAGGTTCGCGAAGTGAAGCAGCGTTGTGGGATCCAGATCGCAGCTTCAGGGCGGGCACGAGCCATCTGATGTCGGTGCAGCGGATGAGTGAGTCCTCTTTGAAGATGTCAAGTACGAGATTTCTGTGCAAGTGGCTAAATTCACGTTAGTGGCCGCTTACAACACGAATCCATTTTCTGAACATATGATCGTCCCCCAAATTCATTTCTCAAATTCCGGAGCGCATCAGCTTTCAAGCTTTTGGGCGGCCCCTTTGGGGGATTTCGTGTGTGGTCCCTGCAATCGCACTCTCTCCGAGGTCTGCGTCGGACCCCTCCATGACGGAGTTCGAGGCGTACATGCAGGAGAAGTTCACGTTCCTCAGGCGCGCGCGTGCGGGGGGGGGGGCATGCCAGCAAGGAGTGGAGGATTTCTCAAAAGGGGCCAGGGCGATACTGCATGTTCCTCTAGAAGTGATTTGGTTGCCTCCTTTCAGGCACGGAATCCAACCTCCCAAAAGCAAAAGGACCCTGAGGTGCCCTTTTTGGGGTTGCTTGTTGGGTGTTACCCCAAAAGGAAGCTACCCATTTTGAAGGGGCATACTAAAAATCTTAAGAGACGCCGTCCCGAATTTGGTCTGAGGAACATGAACCGCCGCTACGACGCGGACTTCCAGAGCCAGTACACGGGCCTTCGCCTGAACGGGGACAAGACCCAGGTGCAGTTCGCATGGATCAGCGCCCTGGCGGGAAGGCGACACGTTTTTTTATCCACCACTGGGGGTTCCCCCCAGGAAGTGGGGGAATATTCTAGGGGTTGTTTCCCCATTCCGTTCAAGCATCGTTCGTTTTAATTCCGGATCCGTTTTCTCGGGTTTCTGGCGGTTTTCTAGAAAGAAGGATCCCTGGAAAGAAAAGGGCCCCCCTAGAAATATGGAGAAAAAATGCGGGGAAAAAACAAAAAGCGAGACCTGCGTCACAGCTGGTGCATTTTGAGCCACGCTTGTTCGCCTTTCTTTTTACGGGTGTTCTACTTGAACATTTCGTACACTCAAAGCAGGGTGCCTGATTTTCCTCCCACAGGCCTGCTGTTGGGGGAGCAGCCCTCAGAAATTCATTCGAGGGGTTCTCGCTTTAAACAAGCTAGAGGATAATTTGAGGATGTCACTTCACTGGACCCAGTTCTGCCACTAATTCTGGCAAGCTCACCTGATGTAAAAGCGAGCTCATCCCCAGAAGTTTTCCCTCGCTCGGGGATGATTGAATTTCTGTTGATCTGATTTTGCATAAAGGGATGGAGCTGATGTAAATCGGGGCTTGGTAGATTGAGGGGCTCACTGTTTGAATGACAGCCCTTTGTAGATTTTGGGGTGCTACATCTGAGATTACCAACTATGGCAACTATGGTTAAAGTGGGAATGGCATCAAACAAAGGGCGGGGTAGGTGGGGGTTGGAAATAAAACGCTCACAGGCTGCTTACTTTTTCTTGCCGGCAAAACGGCCTGCAGGCTCGCCAAGAAGGGGGCAGAAAGACCGCCCTGGGCCCTCCTTTTGATTGTTCATTCCGGGTCCTTGGATTACAAAATCAAACATTAACCAAACATTAGACTGGGCTGTCAGCTGTGATCCCCAGAGAAACGGTCAAGAGGGTTTTTTATGCATCTGGGGTTTGCGATGAGTTTTTTTCTTCTTTTCTTTTTCTCGGGGATCTGCGTGATCCTGGCATGGTCATCAATTCTGCAAAACGGACGACACTACAACGGACATTCCCTGCGCATCATGTGCTGAGTCTTTTTTTTTTGCGGTTGAAGGCTACAACGCCACCTTCCCTCGGGAGAACACGGTGGACGAGGCCAACGCGTGGTACAACCGATGGCAGGCCTTCAAGGAGAAGCCGATTCGCGGCCAAAGGGGGGAGTGCTGCCGGGAAATGGGACTCTTTTGGCTTGCCGAGCCCAAAACACCATTGAACCCAAAGAACCGTTGAGCCCAAATACTTTCTGGATGGACCCAAAAACCATTGAATGACAAGTATCAGGTTTGATTGGATCTCTGCCTTGGAGGACCTTCATGCGCCATCTGTCGGGGGTTTCCAGACGGCGGAGCTCTATCTCTTCCTGGTGACCCAGAATGAGATGGTCAAGGCGCTGTCGTTTGCGGATGTCGCCCTGGCTTTGGATTTGGGCCAGTGCCATTTATTTTGCCACAAAGACATCTAGGTCGCACCTGAAGGTTTTGGGGAAGCTTTTGCATGGAGTTTTTGTTGAATCCGGCAGTGACTGAGGCCCCAATTTTGCCCCTTCCCCTTGCCTTTGGCTTTCCTCCGGCGACCGACCGAAGAACTTGCAGGCCGCGACCATGGGCATCGGCCTGTCGCTGCTGGTGTCTTTCTTGGTGCTCCTGGCCACCACCTGCAACTGGTGGTCCTCCTCTGTCGGCCTTGTGTGCGCCATGGCCGGCGGAAGAGAAACACACACACACAAGGGCGGAGACTTTTAGGCAGACGGAAGAGAAAACACACGCACAAGGGCGGAGTCTGCCCTAATAAATGTCAGACTCCGAGCCAGCGGGTTGTTTGCACAAGGGAGATGTGTCAAAAACAATCGCCCTTGATCCAGTCAATGGCTGGACAGCGATTGAATTGCGGCAACCCTACATAATCCGGGGTAGTTAAATTAAAACTAAATTTCATCAGATCTAAACTAATGATTGTTTCCCTTGCCCGAGTGGCAGTTTGTCGGGCCCCTGATGTCCCCGAAGTAGCCTCCCTTTCCTCTAATGTGGGGATGATCCCGCCCGCCCCACCCCCCCAAATCAACACACGGTGGCACGGCACCTTCCTTGTGCGCTTGCGCGCATCTGCTTCAAAGCTTCGCGAGGCATCGTGTGCATCACTGCCACCTTCTTGGGCATCGTGCCGCTGTTGGGCTGGAGCCACTTTGGCTAAGGTTCCTGACAAGCATCCCAAAGGCCCCCCTCCTCATGCAAACCTTTTTCCCACAATCCGAGCAGCCGCCCATGGCTGACTTGGCTTGCCACCGAAATTATATACTTGCAATGATTGGTTGCAGTTGTTGCTAGAAGCAGTCCTCGAGTCCTCAGCATATGGGATCTCTAAATTGTAGATTTGGGGCGGGTTCTCGTCATTGTCTTGCCGGTGCTCAGCAGGGAATGAGTTTGAATGACCCAGACAAAATCTGGAAACCCAAGGGGACCAGAGCCTGGGTTCGTTCAACCACATTCCCTATCGCACCGATGGCAAGTTGTTCTCTCGGTGGCTCCCCGTTTGGTCGCAAGTGACCCAGGGTCGCAAGTGACCGGATGGGCGGGTCGCAAGTGACCCCACAGCCCTCCCAGACATCCCCTTAGCCTTTTAGCTTCTTGGTGTTTAGCGGGGATTTCCATTTAACCCACTAAAAGTTGAACTTTTGCGGGGGATCTGAGGACAGCCCAGGGACCCTTTTTGCGCTTCGGAGGAAAGCTAGCAACCACCGGACCCGAAGGCCTGGGCGAGAATGAGTGCATCTTCATGATCGCCACCGTGGGCTTGTCCGTGGACTACACCGCGCCCGGGAAGACCTCCCGTTTTCCCGTTTTCGCCTTTGGAGGGTCTTCAGGGTCCCGCTTTTCTCGGGGAGCTTCGCTTTTGGGACAACAAAGGACAGCCCGTTTTTCCTTGGAGGAATGATGCTGGGCCCCTCAAGGAACAGTTTGAAGGATTATCAACAGTTGCTCTTGGGGGTTGTTTTTCTCTTTGAACATTTGGAGGTGTCATGGGACCCTGTTTTCGAGGGTCCTCACATTCATGTCCCCATCGGGTGGTTTAGATCTACTGGGCCAGGTTTGACGTGTTTTTTTCTTCGAGAGGGGTGACGTTCAAGGCGGACATATGTCAATTGTGGACCTGGGCTTCACCAGGCTGACGTGTTTGGGACCTTGGATTTGTGTTCAGCTCATGCAGCGCCATGGACATACGGTCAATTCCCCAAGACTGCAAGAAACATAGGAACCCCCGCATCTTTGCAAGGAATTGTAGGAGCCTTTCAGGAGCCTGCAACAGAGCTTGATGAGTCGTGTAAGGAGCTTTTGAAGCTTTCTTCAAACAGTCTAAGCATCCAAGTGAGCTTCAAAACGAGCTTTGCACGCAGCTTTATAATGTGATCCTTGTATGGAGCCATGACATAGAAGAGTTGTATAAGTATAAGGAGCTTCAAAAGGAGTCCTACAAGCAGCTTTACAGGAGCTTTATGAGGAGTTTTATGCGCAACCTTGTACAATGAGCCTTACAACGAGTGTTTATAAGGAGCTGTAGCAGGAGCCTTCATTAAGGAGCCTTCAAAAGAGCTGGAGTGTTGAATTCCAATTTAACATTGAGCATCTAGTTCACTGGTCACACCCGTTCACTGTGGCTCCAAGATGACTTAGTCATGGCAGTACCAAACCTGCCCAAAAGCACAAGAAAATCGTGGGAAAACCAAACAGTACAACCCTTCTTCCAGAAGGGTTTTTTCCTCTTCCATAAGACCTTGGTTTCTTCCTCTTCCAGAAGACCCTGTGTTTTCTTCGATTTTTCAGCTTTTCCCCATGTTTTTTAGCTTTTCCCCATGTTTTTGAGCTTTTTTTGGGCTTGGGGGGGGGGGTTTCGGAAAAGGGGGGGTGGTACCATATATATATATATATATATATATATATCTACGCACAACACGCCGCGCAAATGCTTTAGCTGTATTTTGTCCTACAGCATTTGTCACCATCTACTGTAAGCAAACACATGGAAGGAAGCGAAGGTTGAGGTTAAAATCTTTGGCTGGCAACCCCGACCCCACAAAAACTACATAGTAGTTCCCCACAGGTTTAGTCATCACCTTAACCACAAGGGGAATGTGCCATCTACATTTTTGGGTTTCCTCCATTTCCCTTTTTTGAAGCTCCCAAAGTCGCAGAACCACCCGTCAATTGCAACTTTGGGAGGGGGAATCCAGTGACCCCTGACATTCACCCTGTAGCTGTTTGGGCAGAGAGGAAAGTCAGGGGAGTCCAAGGTGCATCTCCTGCACGCATACGACAACGCTCCCTTCGACACCCGAACTGAACGGGCGCATGCGGCTCTGGAGGAGCTGAAGAGAAGAGACGAAGCCAACAAACCTTTGTTAAAGGTCAGCTTGATTTGGAGCAGCTAAAACGCTAGGGATCGTGCATAAGTCCAGCGCAAACGTCCGAAGCTGGCTGAGACAAAAAGAACCGAAGGCTGTCTGCCTTCAAAGCCCGGGCATCAATCCGGGTAGTTTCGGATTGTGGTTTCTTTTGAAGATCATCCAAAGAATGCCCTTTTGACATTTTTACGATGCCGTGCTGTATGGAGAACATGTTTTTGTTGATTCCTAGCATTCGTCAACGACCCTATTGATGATCATTGGGATTGGCAGCTTGTAACCCAGTTTGAGGATGGTCTAGTTTGAGACTAGGACATGGGCGATTCTTCTGCAGCCCTCGCCAGCTGGCCCCTTGCATGTATTCGCAGCAGAACAAAAAAGAGGGCCCACACTGGGAGGTCATTCATGCATCTGCAAAGCAACTATCCGTTTGTTTTGGGATCTCTTCCCTGCGTATTGGCAAATCTCGACCTAGCTCGTGCAGGTGAAAACATTGGGATGGTGCATCAATCCAAATGCCCGGTAACTTGCGCCGGTTCTGGAGAATAAAGACAAGATCAAAGCAAGCAAGCAAGCAAGCAAGCAAGCAAGCAAGCAAGCAAGCAAGCAAGCAAGCAAGCAAGCAAGCAAGCAAGCAAGCAAGCAAGCAAGCAAGCAAGCAAGCAAGCAAGCAAGCAAGCAAGCAAGCAAGCAAGCAAGCAAGCAAGCAAGCAAGCAAGCAAGCAAGCAAGCAAGCAAGCAAGCAAGCAAGCAAGCAAGCAAGCAAGCAAGCAAGCAAGCAAGCAAGCAAGCAAGCAAGCAAGCAAGCAAGCAAGCAAGCAAGCAAGCAAGCAAGCAAGCAAGCAAGCAAGCAAGCAAGCAAGCAAGCAAGCAAGCAAGCAAGCAAGCAAGCAAGCAAGCAAGCAAGCAAGCAAGCAAGCAAGCAAGCAAGCAAGCAAGCAAGCAAGCAAGCAAGCAAGCAAGCAAGCAAGCAAGCAAGCAAGCAAGCAAGCAAGCAAGCAAGCAAGCAAGCAAGCAAGCAAGCAAGCAAGCAAGCAAGCAAGCAAGCAAGCAAGCAAGCAAGCAAGCAAGCAAGCAAGCAAGCAAGCAAGCAAGCTTTCAAGCAAGCTTTCAAGCAAGCTTTCAAGCAAGCTTTCAAGCAAGCAAGCAAGCAAGCCAGCCAGCCAGCCAGCCAGCGAGCCAGCCAGCCAGCCAGCCAGCCAGCGAGCCAGCGAGCCAGTCAGCCAGCGAGCCAGCGAGCCAGCGAGCGAGCGAGCGAGCAAGAAAGCAAGCAAGCAAGCAAGCACGCACACACGCACACACGCAAGCAAGCAGGCATGCAAGCAAGCCGGCATGCAAGCAAGCAAGCAAGCAAGCACGCACGCACGCACGCAAGCCAGCGAGCGAGCGAGCAAGCAAGCAAGCAAGCAAGGAAGGAAGGAAGGAATGAAGCAAGCACGCGTGCAATCAATCATGCGCACAAGCAAGCACGCACCCACGCAACCAATGAATGAAGCAAGCGCACAAGCAGACGCACAAGCAAGCGACCACGCAAACAAGCAAGCAAACAATCAATCAAACAAGCGTGCAAGAGCATGCAAGCAACCGTGCAAGCAAGCGAGCAAGCAATCAATCAAACAAGCATGCAACAACATGCAAGCAACTGTGCGAGCAAGCAAGCAAGCAAGCAGGCAAGCAAACAAGCACGCACGGAAGCAGCAGCATGCACGGAAGGAAGCAAGCAGCACGGACAGAAGGAAGCAAGCAACAAGCCAAGAAGCGCCCACGCACGCAATCGCGCATTCACACACGTAAGCAAGCAAGCCAGGAGATGGGCATTTCCGTAGCTAACTCCGCGATTACCACCCTCTTCGCCGCGGCGATGCTCTTCGCCTGCGGCTTCTACTTCTTCTTTCAGCGACTTGGGTTTTCACGTCGCAGCCGTGGGACGAGAATGCCGAAAGAGGCGGAAGGCCATCAAAAAGCGGACGCTTGTGAGCGCTTGAGCCGAAAGGACCCATGTTAAAACGCGCTGCCAAAAGGCGACCTGCCCTTTTGGACAGGATGAGCCAGAGGAGCAAGAAGAGCAAGTGAAAACGCCTGTTGAATTGGGAAGCGCCATTTTTCCAAGACTTGCTTCGCCATGGCTTGTGCCGGTTCACTTAGCTCAAAACATCCCGCTGGCCAATCTTGCGAGGGTTAAGGGATCCAAGAACCTGTGAACTGGGTGGCACTGCTTACGGCCACGTTCTGACCAGTCTTTCGGGGCCAAGACTGGGGACCTGGAGAGAGACCCAAGTGAAAAAGAAAGAAGACCTGAAAACCATGTAATGTGTAACGACACGACATGGGCCATTGGCCACGGCTCAGTGGGCGATTTTTTTCCCCCCCTGATTTAGCCAGGCCCATGATTTTCATTCCTCAGCGGGTGCCGTGAGGGTTCCAGGCAGGTTTTGGGAAGGTTCCCAGGGCTGTTGGGGATATGGGCTCATGCTTCTAGGGGTCCTCAAAGAAACTGGTTTGATTTTGATTTCCCCTTAGAACTACCATTTGGGAGAATGGCAAGATACTGGGCTGGGGTTGCCTCAGATAAATGTGGTGACCGAAACAATCTGCAAATGTGGTGACCGAAACACGTGTTTCTCCCTTTGGACGCTGTTGGATTTCGGTGTTTCTTTCGAACAGTTTTGCTTGCCGTTCCTTTCCCGGTTGAGGTTCGGGGGTTTCATCTTCATGGTTATTGGCCTCTCCATCCTGATGTCCACCAACTTCCTGATGCCCATGATGATGCTCATTGGCCCGGAGAGGGATCAGGCACGGCGTGAGACATGCAGGAAACACAGTCATGGGTTTGACAGGCCGGATGGTTTGGCGCGGCCTTGAGTCATAGCAGCTTCGAAAAGGACGGCTTAGTTTTTCAGTTGGATTCGGAAAGCAAAGGACCGTCCCCCTGTTTTAGCACCCCGGCTTTAAACCTCCGGCTTGTAAACTTGTTTGCGAGACTGGAGTGCCTGGCCAGCGGGGTCGCGTCCGAAAGATCGGCTCTGTTTCATGCATGGAACAAAAAAACAGGACGGGGCCTTTCAATCGCTGGAGGCTGGACGAATAGGTGGGGGTGGGGACTATCTGGGGTCCCCATGATTGACATTTGCTTCCTATGACTTGGTTGTAATTAATGTGGGTAGCCCCCGTTGTGACTTGAGCCCCAAACCACGGCTTTGACTTCTGGGCCAGGGGCGGATGACGTGCTGCTGCGAGAGGCGGCGCTATGCGCAAGTGGAGAAGATCGGCAGAAAGGAGACCGAGTGAGGCGAACGATGCGAATACCCAGGCCTCCGCAAACCTGCGGATGGCCGGCACGGTGAATTGTTTTCCTGTCCACGAGTTCGTTGCCTCGGCTTCCCCCCCTTGCAGGCAGCGTGAAACAAGCACGCGCAGGCAGGTTTTCAAGGCTTATGCAGTGCCTTGTCAGCTCAAAACGCCCATTCTTGCTCATTCACTCACCTAGACTAAGAAATCCAAAGAACATGGGTCAGCTTTTTCCTCGCGGGCACCTGCACGTTGTAAAGGCCTAGTTCGTTGAGGCTGTCGTTGACCGTGAACAAAGGATGCTCTCACTTTGTGGAGACAGTTTGGTTTGCGTACAGCACAAGCTTGGGGAAAGCTGCGGATCTCCTCTCAGATGAATGGGGTTGATGCCATGGCCAGGTTCTCAACTAGATTTGCGATCTGGGCGTAGCAGAGGAGCTGGTCCACGTGCTTCTCTTTTGCCAGCCCAAAAAAACATGTGGGTGTGGTCAAAATTAAACCACCAGGGGACCGCAGGTTTTGGTCTATACTTACCAGGGTCCCATTTTGGGTACCTATTTTTGACCCACAGCCATGTAGCAATAATGTCAGCTTGAATAACCATTCACATTATATACAACACTGCGGTATGAATAGTAGCGGCAGGGAACACCATGTATATCTCCAGATCTTATGGATGTCACGGTCTCGGTTCTCTTGCCCTGCCGAGACACTCAAAGCCATCAAGCTCTAATATATTTTTGCTTGTCCCGGCTCTTTTTTGAAATTCCCTGTGATTGAAAGTGGACTTCCGACCAACTCCCCGGGAAGCACGCGGGAAACAAACCTTTGCATCGCATTGGTCGGGACACACTGCAACCACAACTCACGCAGTTCATTGTGAAGGTCCCTGTTGGATTGAACACGAAACAACATACCAACCTCCATCCAGAACGTGCTTGTTTGGCTCCCGCTGAACACATTGTGTCTGACCAACCAAAACACGTCTTCCCGGGTCCACGCAATTTGTGGGGGTTTGGGGGCTACGTTGTGCTGTGGATTCTCCAACATCACAAGTAAGCCCATCAGAAACAGTATACAAAAAGGCAAGTGTTCACTACTTATTGTGGTGTTTTTCGTTTGGTCGCCTCTGGTTCGAGTGTTTGCAAACCGCTGCCACTGGTTCAATCCCTAGGGACCCCTTTTGCCACAGGCTTACTTTAGCATATAGAGGAAAAAGGGCGGACAGCTGCCCTCGCGCATGGTTTTGTGCCAACATTGGTAGCGAGAGCTGGAGATCGTGAAGGGGATCTTCAGGGTGGGCTACATCGTGCAGCCCAGAGACATGGTAAAGGATGACGAGGTGAAGACAACATGGGACGGCGAGCCCGCTGGATGGCATGAATACGTCCGCAGAGTCAGGCTGGAGTTCGAGAAGACGCCGAAGAGGCGAAGACATCTGCTGGGGCCGGCGTTGGCGGCGAGGTTGACCGGGAAAGCATGGGCCATCCTCAACGAGGTCAATCACCAGGAGCTCACAACGTCACAGGGGCCGGTCTACCTCTTGCGATTCTTAGAATCGCGCCTGTGTAAGACTCCTGTCCCTGAAACAGGACAGAAGCTTGAGGAGCTCTTCATCAAGCTCCGGAGGCCGTATGGCATGGGCATGTCGCAGTGGGCCACGGAGGTGCGGGAGAGCTACAAGAGGCTGCAGCGGGCCTTGATGAGGACCCGGAAGAAGCCGGGGAAGCTGAGTTCTGTGAAGGAGGAGTCGGAGAGAGGATCAAGATCCGGGAGAAGGACGGAGACCGAGCCTGAGCCAGATGCAGATGATCGCAACAGCCAAGCAGGTGGCTCTCCATCGAGGTCGGCGACCGGGGCATCCTCACCTACTCATGGCCGAGGGCAAGTACATGGTGAGGAGGCACGTGATGGAGAGGCAACGACGGCGGAGAACCCAGAGGCTGAGGAGACGTATGAAGGAGAAGACTGGACGTGGTGGCATCGTGGAGGATGGCACGGACGTCAGGACTGGAGAGGCCGCAGTGAGTGGGACTCGGAGGAGGACTATGATGAGCACGAGACGGTGAAGTGGGAGGAGTTCGATCTCGGCGATGCGGACATCCTTCCGGAAGAAGTCCTAGGGTGGCTGCTGCTGAGGAGAGCGGGGCTACCTGCGAGCTCACGCCTTGCAGTCCAGAGTGCGACGGGCAACAGCCTCAAGTTCAGCGAGATCGAAAGAGCTCTTCGTGATCAGGAGGAGGAGCTGATGCAAGCTGAGTCATCACGCCAAGGTGGTCAGTTTCAGCGGAGATCAAGATCTTACTGGGTTGAGGAGAACGGCGAATGGGGCTTGATGCCCAACGTCGACGACGATGAGAACACGCAGATCATGTGGGTTGGTAAGGAACTCCCGTCCGAGGTGTATCAGGTGGACCACAGCAAGGACTACCACAAAAAGACCGCGTGGGTGACCTACCTGGGAGATGGACAAGCTCTACAGTGGGAGTGGTACCACGACGACTGGTATGCGGCCGATGGAGATGGGATCTGGTGGACGTGGAGTGAAACCAAGCCGTGGATGGACATCGAGCAGGCGATGATGGTGGACCCCGAGCGTGCGAAGGAGTTGGAAGAGATCTACGTCAACTTCCAAGGACGCTTGAAGACATTTCAGGAGTCGAGGCAGTTGACGAACGCCTCGAAGATGTCACGCGGTTACTACCCCCTGAACTACGTCAAGGGCAAGAGCAAAGGAAAGAAAGGCAAGAGCTCTGGCAAGGGTAAGAAAGGACCTGCTGGAGGACAAGTCTTTGCCAACCATGAGAGTGGCAAGGGCGGCAAGAACCGAGTTGGTGGAGCAGACTACACTGGGTGCTTCATCTGTGGAGACAAGAACCACGAGTTCCGGACGTGCCCACGACGAGGAGCTGCCGGAGGTAAAGGACAATCTGGTGGTGGTTTCGGGAACTTTGTGATGGGCGTGTTCATGGTCGAGGAGGACCCGGAGTTCACGGTGGAGACAATGACTCCGGATGCGGAGGTTTTCTCAGTCATGGCCCAACGCCATCCAGGTCATGCGGTACTGGACTCAGGTGCAACGGAGACGGTGGCGAGCCTGGAAGCGTTGGAGGAGCTCATGAAGGTTCGGGCGCAACGTCATGGGCCAGAACGATTTGAGGTGGTGCCGACCAGGAAGAGGTTCCGGTTCGGCAATGGAGAGAGCAAGTCAGCAGAGAGCCTGGTAATCATTCCCCAGGTGCTCAACAAGAAGTCGTTCGGCCTGGCGGTGTACTCCCTGGATGTGAAGGCCGTTCCGATCCTTCTGAGCGTGAGAACCTTGAAAGAGCTGGGGGCCATTTTGGACTTCGAGCGCAAGGAGCTGAGGCTGCGAGCAATTGGCTCGAATTTTGCCATACCCCTGACTGAGTCTGAGTCAGGGCATTTACTTTTAGATTTGACGGCAGACTGGCTGGAAGTCACGCCAGGACAGGTGTCACAGGCTTCCGGATCTTCGAGCGCTGGAGCATACATGGCGCTAGAGAGAGAGTGGATGAGTGAAGAGCTTGAGCATGGAGGTGATCCAGTGGGGAAAAGCCAATCAGGAATTCAGGGACCTCCCGATGTTTGTGGCCCAAGCTCACAGCCGACGGGAATGAAAACCTGTAGCAAATTCGAACCGCGCCATGTCCCAGTCACAGAAGACGGCCAAGAACTCGGAGAACAAGCCGGAGGACGTGACGACCTGGGAGGAGAAGAGCAGCGCATCCGATGGCCCGAAGAAGGGCAAGTCGGGAACCCGGAAGACGAGAGCTACAACTCCAGAGAAATACGACCTGACCCGCCAGGTAGGACCGGATCTTCGCGACCCGAGATGCCAGGGAGCTCCATGTCATGGACACCACAAGGTGATGCCAGAAGGAAGGGGCTCACTGTCGGGCCGCAATGGTCATGGTCTCTGGAAGGTCTGCAGCGAGTGTCGACTTCGGCTGACCTATGTGCCGGCCTATGGAGCGACGGGCATTCACCGTCAGGCGGGACCTCTTCCAAAGGACACGTCGGTGGTGCTGGAGGAAGAGATGCCAAACATCAATCTGCCAGAGACGAAAGAGAAGCTCAACAACAAGGCGGTGGGGCTTCGAGGAGCCGAGAAGTCGCTGGAGGATCGCCTGGAGGCTGTGCGGCTGCAGAAAGCCCAGGTGAAACCAAAGGCAAGGCCGGGGCCAGGCTATGTCAGAACGGAGACGGTGACCGCGGACACCAAGAAGGCCACGAAGCGGGAGAATGTGAACACTTCCGAGGAGGTCGAGACAGTGGAGATTCAGGACGACTTCGTGGAGGTCGAGAAGCTGACATAGAGATGGACGATGACGGGTACATGTTCCAGGAGGAGGTTCTTGGAGAAAAGGACCTGGAGATGCTCATTGGCGCTGCGGAGAACTATGTTGAAGACCTTGAGGAGATCTACCATCTCATGCCCCAGGAGAACCAGAACCGCATCGATCTGATGGAGGTGTGCTGTCCGACAGAGAGCACTCTGTCGGGAACATTTGAGAAGAAGGGGGCGAAGATCTTCCGAGTGGGTTTGCCGGACTACGACATGAGCACCAGGGTGGGCTTCCAGAAAGTGCGAAAAGAGAGATGGAGGCTGAAGCCCCGAATGATGTGGATGTCGTTGCCCTGCGGTCCGTACTCACCGATTCAGCAGGTCTTCAACGAAAAGTCAGAAGAACAGTGGTTCAAGAGCATGATGCGGAAGAAGAAGAGCAGAAGGATGATCCGGCATGGTCTACAGCTGGTACGGGATCAAGTACTTGATGGCGGAGACTATGCTTGGGAATGGCCAAGAGTGAATGGCGGCTGGTGTTTGCCAGAGGTGCGAGGCTTCTTCGAGGAGATGGAGGCACAAGGAAAACTCTTTGTGGCAAAGCTGGACGGCTGCACCGTGGGAGTGAAGTCCGAAACGGGCAGGCCGATGAAGAAGCCGTGGACAATAAAGACGAGCCTCATTGGTCTGGCAA